TACAAACACCAGAACGTTGATGCTGCAACCTTGTATCAACACTACATACCAACACCACGCAGATCGTTCTGGCAAGAATTCGCCCCAGGATCTACCTATGCAGTACTTCTCTCGTGCTTGACGCAACTCGACTAGAATCCGCCGCAGGTGAGGTCGGTAATATGGGTGCATTCTCGGGCCCAGCCGGACGGGCAAGAACAGCTGTGCGAGCACCAATGCTGTCGGCATCCCGTACGATCGTTCGTGTTTCCGCTGGGGAAGCAATTCATGTTGAAGAAAGGGCAGTATCTCTGAAAATCCCCACGTTTGTTATTAGAAATTCTCAGGGGGGGTGGGGTTGAGATCGCATACCCGTGCTTCAAGGACTTTGGAATCTCCTCCAGTAGTCTGGTCTGTCGGCAGGCCTAGTGCTGCTACGACAAATCCAGCAAGTATAATGAGTGAAGAGAGTGGCGTCATAGCAACCAGAGTGGGAGTTGTAGTAGAGATAGAGATTTATGACAAGATGGGATGAGTATGACGAGGTTGACCTGGCCGGCCAATTCATCGTCCTCACGAGACTATATAAGCAAAGTACAACGGATTACACTCTATTATCACGTTATTTATTTAACTTCGGTAGTGAGATGGAATGACTCAGGCTTACGTTTCAATTGTCCTAGCGTAATAAATTGAGAATCCCTACTATGGATCATAGGGAAGCGCCGGCTCGTCTGTTGCCGGGTCTAAGTAGCTACCTCTGACATTTCTCCCTAAAAACCCCCTGATATCATGCCCGGCTACCTTATTACTCCCAGTTCAATCAATCACAACATTAAGAACTTTGGTCCGAATGCTCTCACTTTTCTTCTGCTCTGAGAATACTTTCATTTGCAGGGAGTGGTCTAATCCATCGAACACGAGCTTGATCACGCACTCGCGGATTTTGCATACGGAGAATGAGTCAACAGAGCCTCCATCAACGTAGGAATTCCCAGACCAACACTTAGATATCGCATAGAAGGCACTAATCTAGGGCAAAGGGAATCGCTGACCTCCAAAGGTTATCCCAAACCCAGGAGAGGCATTTGGATGTTGAAAAACGCGTACAACATATTCTAGGCGTTGATTTAACGCATCAACAAACGAAGAAATTCGTAGAACGCGTGCTACGGGCCTCTAACGATTTAAAAACGTGGGAAAAGGTTGTTCATAAGCCTTGTAAAAATGAACCACTCTATCAAGGTCCAGAGACGCCGCCCTATTGATTCAAGACGTGTTAAGGGAGCTTTTGCTGAGACTATCAGGGAATAGTTTGAGCATGTCGCGACCCCCGAGATCAAGGGGACCAAACCAAACTACCAAGATTCACCAGTTGTTTTGGGCAACCTCCTCACAGTCGACATCGTAAACAAGGATGTTTTGAGCAGTTCTTACGCTTGAAGCCTTTTTAGCTCGAAGATTATCACAGTCCTCAAGGTAATACAAATAAGTACCCAAGTCCATCAGGAATGTTAGCTTCTAGACACCTTAGTAACAACAACCGCATCACACTTCCTATCCCTTCCTCCGCGTGCAATGCATTCACTTGCATTCTAACTCAGAGTCATTATTACTCAAGCACGTGTCTAGCGCATGTTAGCTTCTGGTCGCCTCTACAGCGCGAGGTTTTCTTCAGGAAATTACCGAGGTCGATAGATGTCTGCTGCTTTATCCCCTTTGAATCGGTACAGCGGCAGTTGAGGATCTTCTTGTCTGCAATGCCACAGTCGCAGTACTTGAAAGAAGGACTAGCCAGCTACGTTAGATAGGAGGAATCGTAGACAGATGCTTTTTCAACTTACTTTGAGGGACGACACTGCAATTGTGAAGAAATTTGAGTTAGCATTCGTAGTAATTAAATAGTCGCAGCAGACTTGGAAAATGACGCACAACAAGCTTGCCACCGACGTTGGCAAGGCACTTGGTCATATCCAACCGGGTCGTGTAACCACTATCCCCACCAGTCCGGAAGCAGGAAGATGTAACCGTGGTCGACTCGTAGTACGTGTCAAAGCAAGTAGCAGAAAAGTCCTTGGCGGCAACCTGGACCGCAGCGGCGGCCAGGAGAGAAAGCACAACAGTGATGTGCATAGTGAATCAGAGAGTGGGCAGGAGAAGTTGGTGGAGTGAAAGTTAGTAGGTAGCATGTTTGAGTGGAAGCAGTGGCCCGCAGGAATATATATTTAATGACTGACTACAATTTTATCCAAGATGTTTTCAGCCTAAGGTGTTCATCTCGGCAACCAGAACCTTAATGGCTGGGAAAAGTACGAAGCACGGAGGTTACGATAGCTGAAGATTGCGTGAGTTTCAGCTGTTCATACTGTTTTGAGTTATCCCATCGGCCGCTAACCAACAACAGGGCGAGTGCACGCCTTGATTGTCCTTCCTGAGATTAATCAATGAGCGGTGGGATGCTCATGACTCTTTTGACATCGGGTACAACACAGCCGCGTACATATGCCATGTTACACATCCAAGTGAGCCCGTGGGTGTATTAGATAGTAACAGCACTAACAAACGCGCGAATGATCAATACCTTACTACAAACTCTGAGTCTTTCCAGGATGACATAAGCTTTGGTCGATATTGATCGTACGCAAAGCACTCTCCTCGGAATTATAGAAGATAGAACACTTGGTGATCTCAAGGCCTGATTTGGAAGAATATGTACAGAGACAATGTACTGTAGAGTAGATAACCTCGGCCCACGGCCCTCCAGACCATGTATCCTTCGGGAGGTCTGCGGAGGCCTTCGGTCCGGCCGTCACGGCGTTAAAAATCATTCTAGAAACACTCCAAGTTTTTGGTGTCGGGACTGCCAAAACTCGCAGCATCGTAGTAGCATATGCGGCAAGGCTTATTATCCTTTCCGGTACGGGTAGATGTGGGTGACGACTCCTCGTATGCTTCGGCCAAAGAGGAAATCCTAGTGGGATCTTTTCCGTGGGCATCAGCGTAGGATATTATACAAGGCAACAGGCCATGGGAATTGAAAAATATGCAAAATGAGAGGTCATTATCATGTATCATGCGCACTTCGTGGGCAATACAAATGAGCGCTCCTCTTTAACACGGTAAGCACCAAGAATAGGACAAGGCGACAACTGTTCAAAGAATCTCCAGGGCTCATATGTAATGGTCCCGAGCTGGGCTTGAGAGCCGGACTTCCATTACTATTCAACGTACTTCTTCAAGGTTTACATCCGCTTTAAGCATTGAATGAAACTCCACTGCCCATCTATTGAATAAGTCTCTTACTGATCATACTGAACCATATCCCACAAAAACCGACAGAACTATTCAAACGACCCCAAAACTACTGTTGAGTATCAGCCTCAGCTTCTGCTCATCGAAATCCCAGTCAAGAGGCTGTGCCGAATAGCCCCTGAAATGTTGTGTAGTGTGTTTTGCGTTAGGCGATCCCCAGTAAGATGGTCTGGGTTCTAGACAGGGTTAGCAGACTGGACCAAATCTCGAAAATTTGCGGCAAGTACCATAGAATCTACAGGTTTCTTTTCTCTTGTAGGTAATACAGTCTCAAACCTCCGAGATGGTTAGATAGTACGTGTAGCTCGCGTCCAGCCTCCACCGGACTGTGGCTGCGCCTCTCTGACCGGATCGGAGGGTCATGGTCTGAAAGCACTCTCCAGCCGCGTTAGGTGTCGCAATCGGAATCCGACGGACCTCGATTTCGTAGTTGGCGAGGGCTGGATGCCCGTCTGGTGCAGCGACGTCAATGACGGTATACAAACCAGTGAGACCAACAGGGTCCTCCCAAATGCGGTAGTTGAGCCGCGAATTACCAGCGCTCTCGTAGGCATTGGGACCAAAATGCCCGCGACGTCTGCTGATGGGATCGCTTGTAAAAGATCTAGTGAACGATGTGGAGGCCGGGCGGCGGGAGGGGGAAAGGCAATATGGGAGTCCCCGTTCCTGCAACTGAGGCGGCGGATTGCCGTTGTCAGTAGGTAGCCCGATGACCGAGCATACCCACGAGACAGCCAGAGCAAAAAAGAGAAGATAGCGCATACTGGCGGTTATTAATGAAGGACGTGTGGTGGTTGATACCAGGCTAAATGGCGGGTGATGGCTCTGCCTACTTATACTCTCAACACTTCTCTGAGACTCGGGCAGTCCGGCGCAACACACCGAGTGTAAAATGTAGTTCAGATGCTTGAACATGTCTTCTACCATTAACCGGTCCATAAGGTTCATTTTGAAGTCAAGATCTTCACTGCGACCGCTGCATATCAACGGCTCATGTGGGATATACACTTGGAACCTGAACCTTCATTACGGAGTCATCTATTAGTCGCCTTTGTCAAATTAGAATACGAGGCTGCTTTCCAACTGAATGAGAACTCTATCACTTGTACCTTTTTCTTTATTCTTCAGCTATACGGCGGAGTAAGGGAGTGAGTGATCGCACTGGTCGCAACACTGGGATTCGTACCTTACCTTAGTTATCATTGACCTTTGCCAGTGACAAAGAAGCCTTCACAACACAATATAGCCAACAGATATCTTCATCCGGCATTTACAGCGAGGGAAATCCACACTGTGGCTTGCTATACGGAATATCATTAGTCTACTCGCATCTTGGCTCTTGATGATCAAACAACGTTCATGGCGATTTCATCTGGTGAAGGCTTGCTGAAGCATCATTTAATTTACCTTTTAGCCAGCTTGAAATGGAAGCGATTTAGACAGGAAAAAACATGTTGAATGATTCGTGACCGGCAAATCTCAACCGCTTGACTTTGCAATGCTAATTTGCGGTTTACCTCCCTAGCCTAACCCTTTCCACTTTTGAACGCTGGCTGGAACGCAATCTTTGACCAGAAGCCGTTTGCTAGAAGACAGGAAAACCTATTTAAACTGGCGGCATTCCACCACTCGCTTACCCCTTTCCTGTATTTACCATACCAATCCGGCGAAGACCTTTTGTTGTATTCAATCAACGACCTACTACGACGATGCATATCCTCTCCGCCTCCTCCATGCTTGCTCTTTGCAGCATAGTGTAAATTTCCCCTTTTGCCACTTATCATGTCGCATATGGGGGTACTAACCGGATTATAGGCTAGCGAAAAATCACCAGTTCTGTGCCTGTCAGTCTGCTACTGATGGAAGCATCAACATTGATGCTACCGCACAGGTTCGCAGTCTTCACAGCACTGAATACCTTTGGGTACGTAGCTCGCACTAATGGGCTTCAAGTTTCTCACAGTCCTATAGGTCAGGCTGAAGGAGATTATTGGGTTGCCCATGACAAGGGTCCCGGACCCCGATTTGCAGGCGCATTTGTAAGACCCCAGCCAGGCCTCTTGTCTTCCTATACTAAAGTTCGTATCTTAGTTGGAAGCTGCCTATGGATGGATCGATGGCAGAGCCTTCTATAATCTCTGCAGAAACTTTGGAGGTGGGGACTCTACATGCTTCGATTGCTCTAAGTGGCACAACGTCAATACCGCCATCTATTGCGATGTATCCTAGGTGTAATCTACCTTCCGTCATGGGTGTTGGGATCATGCTCAATAGATTTTTCCAGCCACATCTTCACATTCAAAGCAAGTAATAGGTCAGGTGCAAATCCTGCTTTGTCAGATAGTTTAAAAAAGGTCAAACCTTCTCAGTCCTCAGTTTCAAGATAGCAACCACGCATGATAACTAAATCAACATACGACCAGGACGTACCTTAGAACTACCTTTCGTACGTCCACTGACAACCAACAAAAGCACGGAGAAATTGGAGGATGCAGATAGCAAACCTTAAGGTTGAACAGTTGTTCCTTTGCTTCATAGGAATTGCCATGTTAAGGGTCCAAATAACATGTAAATCATTCAACACATTTGCCGTCGCATATTTGTGGGTACTGTGCTCAGTCCTACCAAGTACTTGTATCCTGCTCCGGATAATTGAATCAGGAATAGTGAAGTGTGGGCCGAGGCCAAGGTGTTGTTTGTGGACGGGAGCCGTATAGAATCAGGAGCGTCCACCTATGAAGACTCATCAATAGTAATACCAACCAGCCAGTTGGATGACATACGAATACCAATCCGAAGGAAGTAGCGAGAACGAGTGACTTGCAGACTTGGGATTTGCCCATGTATACCTTACTGTGGGACCGACAACTTCGAGTTCGTACCTAGTTTTGGGACCTGAGTAATGGGTTATGGAGAAGAGCACACTTAGAGCGTACTGATTACAGTGACTAAGTGTTTTGTGCAAGCGGATAGTCTTACGTACATCAATAAATGTCTGCCGATTTGGGAAAGTCTCGAGGGCTTTCTAGTGATACGTTCTACAAAGGTCATGATATCGTAATACAACACGCTACAAGCGACCTCTCCAACTGACCAAGGTTTTTCATTTGATACGTAAGCTACGATCACATTGATCCCCCAGTATTCGGCTTCTGATTCGGGCCCCTGTGCTACGTAGAGGCTATGGTGGGAAATATCACCAATAGCCAAGTGAGACTGTCGGATTGGAAGTCCAATTCGACCTCGACGTCAGGGCGCCCGCGCAGGGGCCAACTACGGCCACTACTTACGATAATCGCGGCCTGCCCAACCTACGGTTGGAACCTCCTTTATACACTTACGCAGAAGATATTATAGTGCAACTGACATCTTCGTCAACCCACGGTTCGAACCAATTAGCCTGTGCCTATCTGGTGGCAGACTATCCTTCAAGCTTACCCACTCACCAATGCGTACCACCGATCTCATGCGCCCTTAGGAGCGACATCTCTACCGGCCCCAAGCCCCGGTCATTCAATAACTCCATTCAACAGCCCGGCGGCTGAGGTTAGCCAGAACAAAGAGGACAGCGATTCCACTGCTAGTTTAGAAGCACAGCCATACAAACCGCACCTGCGGCCATCCTTATAGGCTCATTCTAGTAAAGTGTTACGGCCCAACAAGGAATTAGGATGTGCCCCACTGGCACCTGGCCGCTATAGCGCACTATATGATTTGACTCAATTCAATTTGATTTAATGTTCTACTATTTGTTTTTATATTCTGCCTTTGCTGGCTGCTCGGGCGGTTCTCGATATCGTTTACATAGTATTAATACACAGTATTAATTGATGCTCTTACTGTCTCAATAGACTACTTTCAGATTTTCCACCTTTCCTCCTTTCTAACTTTCCCTCCTGCAAAGTTCACAACCACGGATTATTGACGGCTAATGTTCTACTATACAGTGAAAAGAAGGGAAGCTTCGAGGAGTATCTGGAGGGAATCCTCGCTGACTAACTTCACGCGACAGAATGAGTCTGAGATAAACCGTGAATGTATCTCACAAGATCGACGAATACGGAATTCGGAGAAGGACTCAAGCCGGAAAAGTCAAAGTTGAGGGCCCCAAGCATAGTATTTGCAAGTCCAACTTTTCTTACCCATCGCGACGGCCAGAAACAAGGGCCGGTAGACGGGGACGACGGCAGTGCGCGCATGGATGTTGATTTGTTTTTGTTACCTGAAGGAGAAGACCTTTTGCCATACTTTGAACATAACGAATGTGAAGCCTACGATCTGATCCTTGCTCTCCTTGCTCTCGTGGGAACAGAGTTCTCGCAGCAGCCAGCCCTTTGAGGATTAAGAGCCTCTTTCTTTCCCTCGGGTCCTAGATCGGCCCCGTTTTGGCCGAATGCCGAGTCATCATGGTCACCTGATGGCCCAGGAAGATCGTAAAGGATCGCCTGTAATTCTCACTAGAGTAGGTTCCGGCTAGACTTGGTTCTTCGCCTTGAACCCAATCTCAACGTTGCTTGGCACTAGGCGACAGCATGAGCAGCCACTAAAGTATTCACCCAAAGCCCCCTGCACCGGTCACGAATCGAGCTCGTATCTGCCGGCTGAGGGGTTGTAGCGCGCCAAGACGGACTAATTCGACCTTTTCTTGTCAGGACCAGCTCTCCCCACACTTGTCTTCCCCCTAAAAAGGAACAGAAGCGTTTGAGCATATACCGTGGCTGTCAAGCATCGCTCTATGAAAGCCACGCTTGGCTCTGCGAGTTACAGGAGCTGAAGGGAAATTCTACGAGAATCTGCAGAGTGTCGGCAGAGGCGCGAAGTAATCAGTCAAAAAGGCGGGGGGGAGAGGATCGTGCATGAGCCCACTAAATAAAGCCTACCAATCTGCCCAGAAGACCATGCCACTGGCCAATGTTTAATTGCTTCCTACCGGGGCATCTAAGTGCGAGCCGAAGAACCCGTCTCGAAATTCCCGTTTTCGCTGCCCAATAACTGTAGGTGTTATAACCGCACTCTACCAGTCTCATCTCCAAGAGCACCCAAGAAACAGCTTCAGATGACGTTATTCACTCAGTGGATCAACTGAGGGACCTAGCGTTCGTGAGACAGTCAAGCTCACACCAGGAAGCGGCTGTGGCCCGAAGTAAAAAGTATTGTCAATATGAGACGCTCCCCCTTGCGCCAGCATGTACGCTGTACTGCCAAGGCTTGACATTTCGTTGAATATAGTGCTATGCATCAAGACTTGACTTTAGGCGTTGCCAAGTGAATACTCTGAGCATATAAAATTACGAACTGGAGATTAATACCAAAATACTGAAAGCCAGTCAATCAGCAATAACGTTGTGCTTAGCTCAAGCGGAATATTAACTCCTCCCATTCAACTTCCATCAATTGTGGTCTTAAGAGGTTCTTAGAGCAGCTCTGTCGATCATCTCACAGGTGACGCCAAGCGAAGACAGCGTCGTGCCAAGGTCCAACGTGTGAGCCAAGGGACGGAAGTTTCAAAAGCATGAATCGGGAAGGTCTGTTTTCTCAGAGCAAGCCATCCGCTCTTCCATTTTGCTTCTTTAGGGTGCCATTCGTGTAGCTCTTAACCGAACTGGCGACCCTATTTCCCAATTTCTGTCCAACCGGCGCTCACCCCCGGCTCAACCGTAGCCACTCCGTAGCCATGCCGAGCCGCCTCCAAGCTCGTGGTAAATGAATGCGGAGGATGCATTCCCGGTCTAGGGGCCGGGCCAATTTCGTCCTCCAACGAACGTGCTTGCCCCATATGAGTATCTACCGGAGTGGCGCGCATCTGGAGCATCGCAGTATCCACCTGGTTGAGTCGTTGGGGGCCATCAGATATAAACGTGTCGCCGTGCCGAAGTTCTCTAAAGAAGATGGCCTTGAGGTACCTTACACTCTACTTCTTCTTCCTCTCTATTGATACCCGTGTATCTAGCCCGCAATCATGGTCAAGTCATCCTTCCTCACGGCAGTGCTGGCGCTCGCCTCCTCGGCTGCCGCCCAGTGCGGTTCCGGCACGCCCGACGCAAAGGTCACTGGATCTGGAAGTTCTTTCGTGGCCACCAAGGGCTCCAGCCAGGTCTACTCCGGCTCCGACTACCGTGCTGCCATCCAGGCCGCCGTCGACTCCATCAGCAGCGGCCAACGCGTCTCCGTCATCGCCTCCGGCTCCATCGGTGCCAACACCATCGCCATTCAGAGCGGGAAGACCTTCGAGGGCTGCGGAACCATCAATGTCGCCCTCCGATCCGGCCGCGGCGCCATCGAGGTCACCAACGCCTCGGGCGTTAAGATCCCCTACCTCTCCATGACCGGAAACCCGTACTTTGGTCTCCGCTTCTACGGTACGAAGGACCTCACCCTCGGCGCTATCAACATGAACCTCAGCGGCGGCATCGGCATCCGCTTCGACCGCGACCAAGCCGCCAACACCAACGTCAAGATGGGAGTCATCACTGTCAACGGCGCCGGCAGCCACGCCGTCGAGACCTGGAACATTGACGGCCTGACCATTGACCAAGTCATTGCCAAGAATTGCGGCGAGTCGGGACTGCTGCTCCAAAAGACGACTAACGCAAAGGTCGGTCTCGTCGATGGCAACAATGTTGGTGCCGGCACCGGTTACGGAACCCTCCGCTTCGCCAACAACAATGGCCAGCTTACCAGCGGCGCCTACACCACGAACGTCTACGTCACAAAGGTCGTCTCCCGCGGCGGTGGTCGTAGCATCTTCTGCGTCTCTCAGTCTGGCGGCGCCGAGATTGGCAGCATCGATCTCGCGAACAACGGCAACAACGCCATCCTCATTGAGAATTGCTACGGCGTCACCATCAAGGGCGGTACCGTCAACGGCGGCGGTGAGGTCCGTCTCTCTGCCCGCTCCGAGTTCCCCATCACCCGCGACATCAGCATCACCGCAAAGGTCGACGGCACCACCGTCCGCGAGTCTCCTTGCGGCACGAATATCAAGTGGAACCTTTCCGGCAACGGCGCTCGCAACATCTGCTAAGCGTGAAGTTTGTCAGTGG